AAAGAGTGGTGGTTCCTTCTTTTAAATAGTGTTCTAGTGGTTGACACTCTCACATAAGAAAAGGGAGACATATCGTTTCTTTTCTTAACTCAGAGAGGTCAAAGCCACATCTCTGCCTCAAAATTAGAAGCAGGAACATTCTTTACCGCAGTTATTGAATCTTCCCACTTGGAATAAACAGGCTTGGATCTTTACTTAGTTGGGGAAAAAAAAATAAAATAAGCACAACTCTGTAGACCAGCACTCACCTGTGAAAGAGGCAAAACTCCCCAAGGGTTTACACATATTTTATCCAACAAACACCACATATAAAGGCTGCTGAGAGCTGTTTGCAAGCTCTGGTCTCCCACTCCTAGGAATGTGTCTTCCCCAAAGGGTTGGAAGGTGAAGATCTGGATTTGAATTGCTCTAAGAAAATAAATTTACTGAGGTGTTGCACAGTCTAAGCAAGTGCTGAAAAACAGTCTGGCTAAAAGGGAAAAGGAGAATATTTTTTTCCCCTCCTGTAAATGCATGCAAAAAGCACACAGTGATACTTGTTTGGTTCTTGAAAGAACACTTGCTTTCAGGAAAGATCTGAAGATGCCAGAACACAAGAGAATGCACATGCCTTCCTAAATCAGGTGCCTGGAGAGGGCATTTATTTGCTCTGCATTTGTGTTTTCTCTTTTGGCCTGGACCATACAGAACACAGGTGTGTATCCCTGTGCAGGATCTTTTGGATTTCAGTCTGAAGAGTCTAACTCTAAGGCAGGATGGGCTTTAAGGGTAGATAGAAACTTAGGAAAGGCAAAAAGTAAACCTATAAAGCTCAAATGTTTATGCAGCTGCCAGAAATAACTGTTTCTACAACATACAGCAAATTACAAGAGAGCAATTCCTAAATTATTTGTAATATATTATTAAGGAATTAAGAAGCTTGCAGGGAAGAAAAGCAAGATGCTCAAAAACAAGCTACAACCTGTGCTGGTTTTACGTTCCTATATCCCTTCTTAGATCCAACCCTGGTATGCCTATCTTCCTTTGCCCTTTTCTTCTTATTTAAAAATAATAATCCCGGATGCTCATTCACATTCACTGTAAACTTCCTAGTATTAAATGCAGTTTTGGAGGTAAGCACCACTCCTTCTCTCTTAGCGGGCTTGTAGAATAATTGCAGAAATTTAAAACTTACACTGCTTAAATTGGTTAATTTACCATTTTCTTAGAATCAACGAGCAATGAAAGCAACTCTGAAGGGGCAAGTCAGCACCAGTGATGATATTGGTATCACTGTGCTCCCTGACACCATCACAAACAGCAAAAAGACTTTTAGCAGTGAAAGTCAGTATATTCATGTTTCTACTATGTCTTCTGATAATTCAAGAAGACAGGACTTGAAAAAAACACAACAACAGGGTGGTGGCTGATGCATTCCAGGCATTACTCTCTTTCTCTCTGCCTTCTTCAAAAACAAGCAAGTCTGTACATATATTGCTTTGCTATAAATAAATTCAAACGAACTTCTAAGTCACAGACTGATTTGCAAATCAAAACTGCCTCATCCTAACAAGGCTCACAATGTCATGATTGTAACAAAAGAGCAGAGAAGCCATCTCAGCCCTAAAATCAATCAAATTATGTTTTGTAGCAACATTGTCCAATCCTACTCCCTTACAAAATATCTTTGGCTCAGTTAGCAAAGTTAATTCTTGCTTTGCTTTCAGTAAAAAATGACTGCTTCAAGTTGAATGCAGCCTATAGTTTGCAAGTCTTATTTTTAACTTTGATATCAACCCAAACCAAGTCTTACAGCAGCTGCTGCTGCTAAAACGACTAGACTAAAAATTGCTACACAGTTGACTTTGGCTTGGCTGGAAAATGTTACTGTTTGCTTGTCTTTCCGACAAAGGTAATATTTTTAGCTGTTTGACTGGCTGAAAAGTACAGATCCAACCTCTGACACTCCTAGTTGCCATACTGCCGACTGGAATATCTACAAGGATCTTACTTGTATAGCTTCCCCTAATTTTAACACCTTCTCCAATGCATTATGTGAGCAACCAAAATCAACGACTCATCCCTCATTTGGCATTTCTGCTGAATTAGTACAGCCGTTCATTTCCAGATCTTCTCCTTGGACTAGCATTTGGTGTTTCTGTGAATAACGTTAGCCAGCCTGCCCCAGCCTCCCCCATGCATCTGCTTTATATGTAAGAAAGAGAAAGCTTTCTTGTGGCCTCCCCCCAACCCTTCCCACAAAACCCCGTTTTTTCATACTGTGGTTGACATTGGTATGGAGAACTCTGAATTATCTAAAGAGCTGTGTGTGTTTGTCAAAGCACAGTAATTTTAAGACAGTTGTTCAGTTAGACAAGTATGCAAATCTACAGTACCTCTCCCAATGTCTTTGCCTTCCATGTCTTTCAATATTACTGACTTTCCTTTTGTAATAAGAACAGCATCACCTTCCCACTTCTTGTGCTTTTTCTTTGATGCCTTACACCACACAACGCTGAAATATTTTGCATGGCAGTCAGGTTCTTCCTGAGCTGCTTCTTCCTTTGCTGTCCCTGATGTTGGCAAATACAGTGCATCTAAAAGGGAAATAAAATAACAAAGAATATGTCAGGTTCTCTTGACAAAGTGTGCAGTTATTTGCATTTCAAACAAATCAAGGACAATCTATGCATTTCATCTTACATATACAAAGTGGTGCATCTCTTGTCCTGGGCCACTTATGGTAAGTTTGGGCTGAGACACAACAGCACATAAGCACTCATCCTGAAATAGGAACCATTAAATTGTTTTTGGAAAGCATGCACTTTCAGGAAGAGGACATTACTTGGTACATTAGTAAGTGAGCTCCTGATTTGACATACAAGATGATAAGAGTGGAGAAAGAATAAAAGGAAAGGCTTGGGGGGAAAAAAAAAAAGAGAAATGACCACAGGAGAAAATGAAAACAGGATCCTGGTGACATGGTACTGGGTGATGTTCTGGAAGCAAGGACACGAACACAGAGCTCAGAAAAGGGAGCAAAGGAGGCCAGTAACCAGATCTGAAGTTGGAGTCATTAGTACTAAGTTGCAGAATAACCATAATTGTAACAATGCAAATGATTATTTCAACTCTGTTCCTTACACCCTTTAAAAACAAGCAGTTGTGCAAATCTCAAAACAGACCATCTCTTGAATTGCAGCAACTCAAATGTTGTTACTAGGCTTAGATTGATTTAAACTTGTCAGCAGCCATCTAATTATGACTGCCATGGAAGTAAATATTAATAGGAAATATTTAGGATAATAAGGTTAAGAAATAATATTAGAACAGACAGCAGTTGATTATACTATTGATTAAGAATTAACACATGCTTTCAAGAGTCAGTAATCTGACATAAGTAATGGTGGATAAGTCCCCAGCATCACCTATAGGAATATCTGTAGCATTCCTTTTCTGCACATGCACAGCTTCAAAGGGAGAATCAGACTAATTTTCATTAAAATACCCTTACGTGCTGGTTAAAGGCTTAAATCAGTTTGCTCCTTTCATTCCACCTGGGATTCAGCATTATACAAATCTGTTAGAAAAAAGTGTGCATGCCACAGGCTAACCTTTCAAAAATTTCCAGGTGTGCTGGTATGTAAGGGAGAAGTGGCAAGAGTAAACTTTTGCTCACAATAATGGTCCAAAAAAGAGGCAACTTTATCACTTCTACATCAGGTCTACATATTCTTAAAACTGCAAAACACTTGTAAGTTACATGCCTAAAACGAGTGCAATTTTTTCTGACTAGCATGTACTAAAAAGGTGTTACCTAAATGAAAAATGCTATATTTATTGAACAGAATTTTCTTCCCAAAGCTCTCCAGCAGTTTTATTGTCTGTATAGAACTCTGTGCTAACACAGTGCCTAACATAGATGGGATTTTCCATAGGTGGATGTTTCTTCAGGGCATTAGCCAACATCTGTAGTGTTTCATGTGACAGATGCCCATCTCCAAGGGGTAACTGAGCAGCTACGGAACACTGGCACACTACAGAAGGACGAGAAAACAGAGCAGAGCATCTCTCTTTGAAATGTAGGGGATTCTTTGTAGATGAAACCTGGGAAACAAGCCAGAGAGCAAGAATAAATCCTTGCAGTTTTGCAAAAAAAGTACAAAGGCTTTATTGGTTCTTCAGTAACCACAAGTGATACGATTTGGAGGAGCGAAGGGGGGGGGGGGGGGGGAGAGAAAAAACCTGTGCATTGCTAAAAATACAAAAGACTAATTTGATTCCAATATTAAGTTTCTAACTGTAAACTAACTCAGCAAGATAAATCCAAGATTGTTTTCTATTTGCTTTTTAAACTGATTCTCTTAGTTTAATCAGCAATGTCTTTCCTCTCATTAAGATTTTAAGTAACTGTTACTGCAAGAAGTGGAGATTTCATTGCAGAGCCGCTTTCTTCTCTCTTGAAGGACGGCCATCCATAAATAAAGGACCACCTCCTTGTCTCCTCCGCTGACCTCTCATGTGAGTTTGGTGACCCCTGAGATTTGTTTTTTGGTCATTGCTCTTTTACTCACTGAGTCCTGCATGGTGTTATCTGAATCGTCAGTAGATTAACTTTCAGGTCAATAATAATTCATCAAACTCTTGTTATCCCTACTTCATTTTAAATCATAAGAAAACCAGTAATTTAGAAACAGAGCTGGAAACTGCTAGCATTTTGTAATAGTGACTTTTGCCAAAAAGGATATCCAAAGCAACCTGCCCGCCATGAGAAGCAAACTGGGCACCAATATTCCATGCAATGCTACCGTGTTCCTATGGGAAAACTGAAAAATAACAGCCTCTGCAATGCTCATATTTCTTCCCTCAGTTTGTCTTGTGAATTACCATAATTTCTGTTTATAAAAATATCCAGTAACCATTTGTTTCTATGCTACATATTCTCCTTTTACTTATAACTACAGTATAATTTCAGATAAGTGTTAAGATTTAAAAACAACAAAAAAACACTTTATGTAAAAATCATTAAATCCTATCGAAATTGTCTTTACTTATAACTACAGTATAATTTCAGATACGTGTTAAGATTAAAAAAAAAAAATAAACATTTTTATGTAAAAATAATTAAAGCCGCTTGAAATTGTCCATAGAATTTCCTTGAACAGAAAACCTAAAGCTGTTCACCAACAATACTGATTAGGTACTTGCATTCAACCTTCTTTTTATCTTGTCATTTTTGTTTGCATTCAGCATCACACCTATTTAACTTCAAAGATTTATTCCAGTGCAATAGCAGAATATCCAAATGCAATAAGTACAGTGTCAGGAACTTTTCAGGAATTGAAATGAGACTGGTATGGTTTGCCGTGTTGGGTTTGTGTGGTGGGGTTTTGGTAGCGGGAGAGGAGCAGGGGCATCAGGGGTGGCTCCTGTGAGAAGCTGCTCAAAGCTTCCCCGGCTCCAAGTCAGACCCGCTGATGGCCGAGGCCGAGCCCATCAGCAGCCACGGATCCACCTCTGTGAGAACATGGATGAAAAAAACAAAATAGCCTGTGCAACTGCAGAGGAGAGAGGAGTGGGATGTGAGAGAAACAGCTCTGCAGACACCAAGGTCAGTGCAGAAGGAGGCGGAGGAGGTGCTCCGGCTGCAGGAGCCCATGGTGCAGCCCATGGTGAGGCAGCTGTGCCCCTGCAGCCATGCAGGGTCACGGTGGGGCAGAGATATACCTGCAGCCCCCTGATGTGACCTGAAGGACGCTGTGACCCCATGGGAAGCCCGTGCTGGAGCAGGCTGCTGGCAGGACCTGTGGCCCATGGAGAGAGGAGCCCAGGCTGGAGCAGGTTTGGTGGCAGGACTTGTGACCCCATGGGGGACCCACACTGGAGCAGTCTGTGCCTGAGGGACGGCACCCCATGGAAGGGACCCACGCTGGGGCAGTTTGTGAAGAACTGCAGCCCGTGGGAAGGACCTACATTGGAGAAGTTCGTGGAGGGACCCCACACTGGAGGAAGGGAAGAGTGTGAGGAGCCCTCCCCTGAGGAGGAAGGAGCGGCAGAGACAATGTGTGATGGACTGACCACAACCCCCATTCCCTGTCCTCCTGCGCTGCCTGGAAGGAGGAGGTAGAGAAACCAGGAGTGAAACTGAGCCTGGGAAGAAGGGGGTGGTGGGGCGTTTTTAGATTTGTTCTTATTTCTCATTATCCTACTCTGACTTGATTGGTAACAAATTAAACAGATTTTTTCCCCAAGTCAAGTCTGTTTTGCCCGTGACCATAATTGGTGAGTGATCCCTCCTTGTCCTTGTCTCAACCCACGAGGTGTTACCTTTTTTTCTTCCAATTCTCCTCCCCATCCTACTGTGGGCAGAAGGAGGATCGAGCGAGTGGCTGCATGGTGTTTGCTTTCCTGCTGGGTCTGCACCACGACATACGTACAGGGACTAAGATCAGTGTTTGATATAGGGGTACAGAGAGCAACAGTTTCAGCAGTAAAACCCTTGCTGCTCGCTGACCATAGACAGGATCTTAAATAGAGCTGTGTTTGCCCAGACCCTGGAAGATAAACTGCTATTGTAAACTATGAGCTCTGCTGTTAATCATTTTAGACCAGAAATAATAAGTAACAGGAAGTATGTGTACACCATAGTAAAAGAAAGATCAGGAAATCATGCCCACTCATTCCTCTCCCAAACAGCAAACTGCCCAGCCTGGTTTCTGTAACCATGAAGAAACTCTAGCAAGGGGCATGCTTCAACGAAGGGCTTGGGAACCTTAAAGATGTGGCAATAAGGCTTCCACAAATTAAAAAACTTTCTCTCTCTGGTTGAGAAAGCCTGGGCTTAAGTTTCAAGATACAAGCCATGGCCTAGTTGATATAAGGAAAAGTTTCAGCAGCCTCGGGAAGGTGATGATTTACAGAAAGCAGGACAGGATCCAGGAGAGGGCACAGGGAGCGTTCCAATCACAAACTAGTTTAACCAGTTTCTGATGAGCAGGATTTAGAGAAAACACATTGATTAAATGTGTTAGGTTACCTCCAAAGCACCAAGAAAGCAGCTGCATTATGAAAGACTACAGAAGGAGACTCTAATGTGCATTTTCAGTAGACCATACACTGTAGCTTACAGCACTGAAAATCTGTGTTACCTTAAGGAGCGCAGCATGCTCCAGTGAGCAGGGCGCTAGACACCTGGCCTGAGGTGTGGTTTAATGGATGGCTTGACCCCATCCAACTGCAGCTGCTGCCAAGCCCAGAAGCTCACTTTTCCTTCCCTCTCTCCCTCCACTCCTCACCCACCAGCTGCAGGCACGCCAGCTCACTGAATCCCACGAGCAACTACAGTCAACGCAGGGAAGGGACAGGTGCGGTTTGGAACAAGGAGACTGGGAGGATGCCCCTTTTTTTTGTGGCAGCTACTGTTAGGTTGGGATGATTTTAAAACCACGAGACCTGTCAAGTTACCCAACACCTCCATACCTGAACTTCCACGTTGTATACATGTGTGGGATAACGGAGTTTTCCCTCAACCGCTCTGAATCTGCTAAATAAAAAGCACTGTTGAAATGCAAAAATCACAACTTGAAGAAGACA